AAAGAGCAGGAATAAATGGGTCTTTCTTTCTGAATGGCAGCCAGTGACTAGTGGGGTACCTCAGTGATAGGACCCCAGCTATTCACAATGTAACTTAATGATTTAGATGAAGGAATTGAATGTAATGTCTCCAAGTTTGTAGATAACACAGAGCTGGGTGGAAGGGTGAGCTGTGAGGAAGATGCAGAGTTGTTTCAGTGTGAATTGGACCAGCTGAGTGAATGGGCAAATGCTTGGCAGATGCAGGATAATGTGGTTAAATGTGAGGTTATCCAATTAGGTAACAAAAATAGGAAGGGAGATTATTATTTGAACGGCTGTAATTTTGAGAGAGGGGAATGTTTGACTAGACATAGGTGTCCTCATGCACTAGTCGCTGAAAGTAAGTGTGCAGGTGTAGCAGGTGGTGAAGAAGGTAAATTGTATGTTGATCTTGATAGTGAGAGGATTCGAGTACAGGAACTGAGATGTCTTGCTGCAATTATACAAGGCCTTGGTGAGGCCACGTTAGAATATTGTGAGCAGTTTTGGTCTCCATTTCTGAGGAAGGATGTGTTTGTTACAGAGGCAGTGCAGCGAAGGTTTAACCAGACTGATTCCTGGGATGGCAGGACTGGCATATGAGGAGAGATTGAGTTGGTTAGGATCATATTCATGGGAGTTTGGAAGAATGAGGGGGAGTCTTGTAGAAACTTATAACATTCTAACAGGACTAGACAGGGTAGCTGCAGGAAAGTTGTTTCCAATGGTAGGGGAGTCCAAAAAACTGGGGTCACAGTCTAAGGATAGTGGGTAAACCATTTAGGATTGAGATGAGGAGGACTTTCTTCACCCAGAGAGTGGGGAGCCTGTGGAATTCACTGCCACAGAAAGTGGTTGAGGCTAACACATTATATGTTTTCAAGGAGGTGGATATAGCTCTTGTGGCTAAAGGGATGGAGTGAGATGGGGGTTGGGAGGTGGGTAGGGTGGGATTAGGGTATTGAGCTCGATGATCAGCCATGGTGATATTAAATGGAGTGCAGGCTCAAGGGACTGAATGGCCCACTCCTGTTCCCACGTTTCTGTAAATGAAGGGGTATGATTAAGATGTTGGCAGAGGATTTGGAAATTGGCTCTGGGGTCGACAATGAGGGAGGAAGCTGGAAGCTGCAGGAAGCTATGAGCAGACTGGTCACATGGACAGAATAATGGGTTCAACATGGAGAAGGGGAAGCTGCTGTATTTGGAGAAGACAAGCAAGATAAAGGAAGACACAATAAATATGAGGATACTGACAGGCAGATTTATTTCCCTAAAGGGGATCAATGAAGCAGATGGGTTTTTACAACAATTGACAATAACCCTCATGCTCCCCATTACTGAGGCTCGCTTTCAATGACAGATATTTTAACCATAATCAATGATAATTATCACAGTTTCCATTTCAGAGATCAATAATGTGAAGGTAAATTTGAGCAGCAGCTATGGTGGATTTGAGCTCATAGCTTTCGATCATTAAGCTGAGCCTCTGTCTTCCTGATGGAGTAACGTTATCACCAGACCAACACCCCCATACTGGCTGGTCTCTTCCTTCCAGGAAAGATGTGATGTTGTTAAGATTGGAGTATCTCAGGTCCAAGATAAGATCAGACACGCTCAGTCTCCTTTCCTTGCAACACGTGGAATGGAGGGGAGACCTAACAGCAATAGATTAAGCTTTGAGAAGGTGGGATAGAGTGATAGAATGAATAGGTAGGGCCTATTCCCTTAATAGAGGAGTCTATTGCCAGGCAATATAGATTTCAGATCAGAGTGAGAGGGTGTTGTGGTAATTTGAAACAAAATAATTTCCACTCTGAGTATTTAGGAACTCACTGCCTGAAAGGGTGAGACAGGCAGAAACCTTAACCCATTTAAAAATGCTTGGACAGTGATCTGAACAGCTGTGACCTACAGAGTGCGATCAGTCTGGATGGCTCCTTGTCAGCCTGCACAGAGGCAATGGGCCAAATGGTCTCCTCTTGTGCCGTAAACCGCAATGATTTCTATGAAACTGAGAAAGGAAATTGATGGAAAAATGGTGATCAGTGACCCAATTATATATGCTTTATATCATGCTTGACATCATTGCACCCACTCAGCGATGGAATGAGTATCTTTCCACCTCTGTAATATGATGAGTAAACATACTAGCCTCTTATCATTTCAGAGATTGGATCGTGGCCAGGTTCTTGGAGCCTCGTTGACATCAACATTATATATTGTCCCAGCATTTACCAAGCAGGATGTGACTGTAGACACGTTGTCATTACTAACACGACATTCACACTGGACAGCGAGTGTCCTGAGACTCTCACAGCCCTGCCAGACTGGGAAAGCTCATTGTGGAGTTTCTTTGTCAGACACTGAAACTGCACATCATATTCCCACACATTAAACCACAGCTTTGCTCGACATACTTAATGTTGGAATTCTTCATCGACATTACCACAGGCACTCACCTTCTCACTGTCAGATATCAATGTCTCTCCTCCTTCTGTCTTCTTTATTTATTCACAGAATGTGGGTGTTGTTGGCTGGGCCCAGCATTTATTGCCCGTCCCTAGTTGCCCCTTGACTAGGTGCTGGTGAGCTGCCTTCTTGAACCACTGCACTCATGTGCTGTAAGTAGACTCACAATGCCCTTCGGGAGGGAATTCCAGGATTTTGATCCAGTGACACTGAAGGAATGCCCAAATCTTGTTGCATTTGAACACGGACTGTTTCAGTATCTGAAGAGTCTCGAATGGTGCTGAACATTGTGCAATCATCGGCGAACATCCCCACTTCTGACCTTATGATCGAGGGAAGGTCATTGATAAAGCAGCTGAAAATGGTTGGGCCTAGGACACTACCCTGAGGAACTCCTGCAGAGATGTCCTGGAGCTGAGATGACTGACCTCCCACAACCATGACCATCTTCCTATGTGTCAGGTATGACTCCAACCACCAGAGCATTTGCCCCCTGATACCCATTGATTCCAGTTTTGCTCGGGCTCCTTTATGCCACACTCAATCGAATGCAGCCTTGATGTCAAGGGCTATCACTCTCACCTCACCTCTGGAATTCAGCTCTTTTGTCCATGTTTGAACCAAGGCTGTAATGAGATCAGGAGCTGAGTGGCCCTGGCGGAACCCAAACTGGGCGTCACTGAGCAGGTTATTGCTGAGCAGGTGCTACTTGATAGCACTGTTAGTGACAGCTTCCATCACTTTCCTGATGATCGAGAGGAGACTGATGGGGCGGTAATTGGCCGGGTTGGATTTGTCCTGCTTTTTGTGTACAGGACATATCTGGGCAATTTTCCACATTACCAGGTAGATACCAGTGTTGTAACTGTACTGGAACAGCTTGGCTAGGGGAGTGGCAAGTTCTGGAGCACAAGTCTTCAGTACTATTGCTGGAATGTTATCAGGGCCCCGTAGACTTTGCAGTATCCAGTGTCTCCAACCGTTTCTTGATACCACTTGGAGTGAATCAAGTTGGTTGGAGACTTGTATTTGTGATACTGGGGACCACTGGAGCAGGCTGAGATGGATCATCCACTCGACATTTCTGGCTGAAGATTGCTGCAAATGCATCAGCCTTGTCTTTTGCACTGATGTGCTGGGCTCTTCCATCATTGAGGATGGGGATATTTGTGGAGCCTCCTCCTCCAGTGAGTTGTTTAATTGTCCACCACCATTCACAACTGGATGTGGCAGGACTGCAGAGCTTAGATCTGATCCGTTGGTTGTGGGATCACTTAGCTCTGTCTATCACATTTTCAATGTGAAGGCAGGACTTTGTCTCCACAAGGAGTGCGATGGTCACTCTTACCGATACTGTCATGGACAGATGCATCTGCAAGAGGATGAGGTCAGGCATGTTTTTCCCTCTTGTTGATTCCCTCACCACACACTTTGTTAACACTGTCAATGTCCGTTCCACAAATGGCTCAACATTTCTCTCTCCCCTTCTCTCTCTCAATTCACATGGATCCTGTCCCTCCACTGTCAGTTTACAATGTCACTCTCCCTCCTTCCCTCACTCCCTCAATTTTAGGTACAGCTCTTGCTCACTGACATTGGACATCTGGCAGATGGGCCTTCCAATGTCACTCACTGTGCCCGCTTTAACCAGTGGAATGGGTAGCACAAGATGGAGACAGAATCTCGAGCCAGAGTCTAGGACAGCAGACAGTGCTTTATAGAGATGGAGTGACGGTTCTGAGCAGGCAGTGACTTAGAGACTGAGCAGGTACATTTACATGATGCTTGCAATTGCTCGCTGTCACTTTTACCAATGGTAACTGTTGGACGGTCAGTACTGAGGGAGTGCCGCACTGTCAGACGGTCAATACTGAGGGAATGCCGCACTGTCAGAGGGTCAGTACTGAGGGAGTGCTATGTTGAGGTCCCCTATGTTGCACAGAATGTTAAACTGAGATTCCATCTACTTTCTCAGGCATCGATCCCATGCACATTATTCACAGACCAGTGCAAAGTCCTTTTGGGAACCTGGTCATATACATCTCTTGTTCAACATGATGACAGTTTTATTGTTTCTGTGTGGTTGCTTTGTACAGATTGCTCACACATTTCCCTGCTTTACTGGGGCTGCACTTCCAAAATCCTTCAGCAGCTGGAAAATATTCTTTAATGTTTCAAGAGTGTGAATTGCTATTTTATACCTTCCAGGTAGGATCACGGCAGATTCAATGTGTAAACATGGTTGTGTGATTGTATCTGTATGTGTGAGAGTGTGGTGTGTGTGTGTGTTTGTGTGTGTATGTGTGAATGAGAGTGTATGTGAGAGTGAGAGTATGTGTGTGCGTGTGAGTGTGTGTGTGTGTGTGTGTGCGTGTGTGAGTGTGTGAGTGTGTGTGAGCATGTGTGTGTGTGTGAGCGTGTGTGTGTGTGAGCGTGTGTAAGTATATTGACAAATGTGTCTGTGTTAGAGTGTGTGTGCATGTACTTGTGTGAGACACAGGGAGGGCTGTGTGTCACAGTGTGCTGGGGCGTGTGAGAGGGAGTCTGTGTGTCTGTCTGTGTCAAAGTGAGTTTGTATCAGAGGGTGTGTGTGTACATCATTGTGTCTGTTTGTGGAGGTTATATCTGTTAAATCATAACAAACTTGATAGCGAGGCATAACATGAAAAATCATTTGAAAATACACACAGGTACAAAGTATGGATGCTGATTGAAACTGGCTGGTAAAATTGGGGACTGGGAAGTATTAAGGTCTGAGTTTGTGTTGATAGGTTCTCACTGGAAATGAAACAATGAAGTTGTTTTTCACAAGTCTGGTGTAATTTGTGCTTTTCTGAAGCCTGTATGACATTTTTTAAAAAAGACAATGTAAGTTAGTTTCAGTGATGAATGAAGAAATCACTTTCCAATCACTAGGTGAAATATTATTCAGAAATCAGACAGACCAGATGATAGACACGGGCCAAAGCAGAACATACATCGGTATGACTCATTCTCAGATGGTGAGTGTCACTGGCAACGCCAACATCTCTCATTGCCTGTGAGATGATAATTTAACTTTCAGCAATCAGAGCTGGCTCTGTCAGTGAGACTCCCAGCAACAGAGTGAAGAAAGATAGTGAGGCACAGCCTGACCATACTTGGCCAGGATTAAAGAATGGAGTTTACATTTCGGTTCAAGCTCGCTGTCAATGGTGCTTCCTCTCCCTTTATAGCCAGCTGCGCTGTTTATTTCAATCAAATATTTACAACAAAAACCCGGAGGGGGCGGGAGCCGATCCTAATTCAGGATCCTCAATTGCGCTGCACTGGCTCTGAGTCTTTTGTTTTCTCGGACCTCCTCTGCACGCCTGTCCTAGAATAAAAGAACCGGCTATTAGAGAGATAGAGGGACATTCTGACCATTCAGCACGAAGACACAGCATGGAGTTAGATGCAGAGTAAAGCTCTCTCCACATTGACCCCATCAAACACCCCCAGGACAGGGACAGCACAGGGTTAGATACAGAGTAAAGCTCCCTC